TCGCAGTTTGCTGTTGGGAGTCAGGACTCTAGCTCGGTCCTGCCCAAGCAAGGAATCTAGCCCTCCTCCCTCCCCAACTCTTTTTCCTTTTCTCTTCCCTTTTGGTATTTTTTTTAATCTATTTTTTTAAATCCTCACCGAGGATATGTTTTTATTGACTTTAGAGAGAGAGAGGAAGGAAGAGAGAGAGAGAGAGAAACTTTGATGTGAGAGAGAAACATTGATCAATTGCCTCCCGTACCCACCCCAACCAGGGATCAAACCCAAAACCTGGGTATGTGCCCTTCCCAGGAATCCAACCAAAGACCTTTTGGTGTACGGGATGATGCTCCAACCAACCGATCCACGCCAGTCAGGGCCCCTTTTGGATTTTAGATCAGGGGTGTGGGGTGCAATGCCAGGTGCTATGGTGGCCTGGGGGTTGCCATGGAAACAAGCCAGGCATTTGGGATGGGGCCTGCCTGCTCCAAAGACACAAATCTGGAAGAAGACAGGGGACAGGGCTCAGGCTGCTGGCCCTGCAGTTCCTTCCTTCCTGGCAGGCACACCGACAGCCTACCACCCTGCTCGCCCGCAAGGAAAATTGGTCATTTTCTCCCAATTCCTGTTCCTAGTTGTCTCCCTATTCCCTGCCCACCCCTCAGCTGCAGAGGATTTTTATCCTTTTATCCTTCACGCTGTCACCTTCACTGACCACGTAGTGTGAGAGAATTGCCCCCTCCCTGTTCCCTGTCTTTGGAGTGAGGGGCACCCTAGCTACAAAGGCTGAAGGAGCTGCTTCACAGTTTTCTAGGAGCCTGAAGGTTGGGGGTGGGGAGAGGGAGTCTGGGGTTGGTTAGGCCAGCCCCCCACTCCCACCCCCACCCAGTACCCAATGCACTAGAAGTGCTAGTGGTAGCGCTTCTGGACGCCAGGCCTCCCCTCCCTTCGAATCCTTCCCTCTTCCCTCCCCAAGGGTTGGTCACTGCCTGGGAGGGGTTGGGTGGCTGCCAGGCCAAACAGGCCCAGGAGGCAGCATTGCCTTGAATGGAGCTTGGCTCAGGGGTGGGAGAAGGGACATTCCCCTCCCCCACTTCCACGGAGGATGGGGAGAGGGGAAGGGTGCTCAACTCCTCTGCCCTCTATGACCCTCCTTCCATCCAGAGAATGTGAGCTCTCGCAGAGCCCCTGCTCTGACCCAGAGGAGTGACGTGCAGGCACATTTATAAGCCTCGAGTCTTAGCAAATGTGTCTGCTTATCCGCGAGGAATGGAAAATGCACTGAATTAGGTGTCAGGGCCTGGGCTCCTACTCAGTGTGTGACCCTGGGGGCAGTTCCTCCCCTGGCCTCAGAGCCCCAAATAGAGGAGAGGTTGACTAAGGAGATGGCTGAACCCCCACGACTTCACCCCTCTTGCCAGGACCTCCCTGGGACAAAGGGGCAGGAGGCCCGAACCTTCAACTGCCCGCCCTCCAGGGGAGAGGGGGCTGTGCCCACTCACCTGGTGTCCCAGCATAGTCAAACCTGCCCTGCCCGCTGCCACCCACGCCCCAGGGATTTGGTCCATTTGGGAAACTGAGGCCCAAAAGACATGACTCTGTGGGCTCCTGAGCCCAGAGTCCTGCCTCTAAGCAGTGAGTCTCCTGCCCGGGTCACAGTCCCTGAGCGTGCAGGGCTCAGAAATAGCTCAGGAAAACGCAGAGCACGGGCCTTCAAAGCACCCTGGTCCTGGTCCTGGTCCTGGTCCTGGGTGTGTGTGAGCTGGCGCTGGACCCAGACTAGCTGACCTGGGGCTCGGCCAGTTCAACCCTCAGGGAGGAACTCTGCGGTTCTGGGCAGAGGAACAGAAACGCTTAACTGAGTGGAGATGGAGAAATTGCTCTCGGTCAGTGACAAAACACACCCTTTGTTCTTATTTGTTTTCACCTCAGAGCCCTCGGGAGTCCCTGAGGAAGTGAGCCGGAGGGCCAGGGGTCAGGGAGGAACCTCAAATAAATGGGTCTTGTGATGGCTACTCAGGGCAGGCCCCAGCACTAGGAAGGGAGGCAACAGGAGGGTGTGAGGGCTGGAGAGGAGGAGGGGGCAGGGAGGGCAGGGAGGGCTGTGACCGTGACTACCTCTCCTCCACCCGGCACAGTTGTCAGGGGCTGGGATTTGCCGCCAGCGGGAGGCGCAGAGTGGATTTCCAGGCTCGGCCCAGGCTGTGCGGAAGGAGACCCCAGACCAGAGGGTCCCCCGGGTGGGGGTTTTCCTGGGCAGAGGCTGCATCTCCCCCATTCTGTTTTGGAGGCTGATGCAGCTGGGCCAAGGTCCTAAGGTACCTCCTTAGGCCAACCCAGGAGACTGGGACTCTCCAGGACAGGGTAGGCCCATCTGTCTGAGAGCAGGGTCTCCCCAGCCAAATGAGGGCCTTCCCAAGGCAAGGTATGTCTTCCCTGCCAGATCATGGGCTCCTTGGGGAAGGCCTATCTCCCTATCATACGTGCTGCCCGGGGACCAGCCCCAGGCTCTGCCAGCAGCCCAGGCTCTGATGTGGCCTCTCTGGGTGGCAGGCAACAAGTGGTACAAGCAACACCTCTCCTACCGCCTGGTGAACTGGCCCCAGCACCTGCCCGAGCCTGCAGTCCGGGGGGCCGTGCGTGCCGCCTTCCAGCTGTGGAGCAACGTCTCGGCGCTGGAGTTCTGGGAGGCCCCAGCCACAGGCCCTGCTGACATCCGCCTCACCTTCTTCCAAGGGGACCACAATGACGGGCTGAGCAACGCCTTCGACGGCCCAGGTGCTGACAGCCTCTCTCCCACATGGCAGGAGGGGGACCCCACTAGGAGAGGCCGCCTGTGGAGGGCAGTGGAGCATTCGCTCTCCCTGTGGCCCTGCCCAAGCTGCATCGCCCTCCAAAGAGCCCTCAGTCTCCACATCTATCACATGGGAACAGGACCGGCCCATGTGGCTGTTGGGGTGGTCAGATGAGGTTCTGCAGGGAAAGTGCCTTGCAAACCCTAAAGAGCATTATCCTTTCGGGGAGAACCTTCTGAAGTCCCGTCATCCATCCCCTGCCTCTAGACAAGCCCGTGCCTCGCCTGTTCTCCAGACCAGGGTCCTAAAAACATGCCGAGGCCACCACTGCCCTCCCCCAAGCCCCTGTCACAGTCACTGCCTCAGAGCAAGAGGCATGCTATCTGCTACAAAAGCTCTTCCTATGCCCACCGCCCAGATGGGCCTCCTGTTTGCCCCCAACCTGAAGGCTTCCAGCTGTGGTTTACACTGCTGTCCCCCCATTCTGCCCAACACTGGCCTGCGGAGCCTGCGTGCAGGCTCTCTCTGCATCCTCCCAATCCCCCTGAGCTAAGGAGTCAGGAAACCTGATCCAACCGCTTCAGGCGGGGACTTAAGCCCTGTGTGGCCTCAGAACTTGGGCCCCTACTCCCTTGCACTCACCTCCTTTCCAACAACCCCACTCAGAGCAAAGCCACTTCCAGGCCCTGCTGCCTGGACCAGAGTAGGGCTGGCAGAAATCTAGGCTTTTTGAGAATCCACCTGTAGGACATACACACATGCTTGCATATAATTCATGTCATCCATGATATCCACATGAGATGTTTCTGTCCGTCCCCAGGTGGAGTCTGGTAGCTAAGACAGCGCTAGACTGGGAGGCAGCTCTCTGATGGGGGACAGGTGCTTTATCTTGTTGAGTTTAGTCAAAAACCTCCCCAGCAGTCTCCCAAGATCATTGCAAGAGTTGAATGGAAAGGCGAACATTGCTCAGAACCGTTCAGAGCACATTCAAAATGGGGAGGCATGTGTCCTTCCTGCACGGGGGCGTCTCTCCATGCCCACGAGGCTCTCCCTAACATTAGCCTCCCGACCTGTGTCCGTCCCCGTCGGGCTGGGCTCCAAGACGGCAGCACTGGCAGGACCCTGCACAGGCTTCTAGGCCAACATCATCACAGTGCGGTTTGCTGCCCCTGCCCCTGCCCCTGCCCCTGCAGGAAGTGACTGGTGAGGGTGGGGCCCTGGGAACTGCAGGGCTGATAAGCTAAATCTGGGGCACCCTACGCTTGAGCATCACTGGTCCAGCCCGATTCCTTCTGCTCACTCCTGTTCTAGCAGGGAGGTACAGACCCACAGAGGGGCCCTGGCAGAGGGAAGGCGAGGACACAAGAATACACACACTTTTTTTTCCCAAAGAGAGGAAGGGAGAGGGAGACAGACAGAAACATCAATGATAAGAGAGAATCACTGATTGGCTGCCTCCTGCATGCCCCCTACTTGGAACCAAGCCCACAACCCATGCATATGCCCTGACTGGGAATCCAACCATCATCTCCTGGTTCATGGGTCAGTGCTCAACCACTGAGCCACACCAGCCGGACAAGAATACATATACTTTTTATTAAAGAAACTATGCATACACATTACCAACACCCCACCCGGTCCCGTCGTGCTCCATTCTGGGGTAACCACTCTACCTACTCCAAGACCTGTTAAAAAGGAATAACTATATAGCATTTATCATATGCTAGGCACTAGGTGTATGGAACACAGACACACACACACACACACACACACACACACACACACACACACACACACACACACACACACACACGTCTTTTCAATCCTCAGAAAAACCCTGTGAGGAAGGACTTCATGGTCATCACTGAGGGGTTGAGAGACCTGCCCAGGGTCACTCCGCTAGTAAATGGTAAAACCAGGGTTGGAACCCAGGCAGTTTGACCCCAAGCGGTATGTGCACCGCTCTGCCCCCTAGCGTCCATACTCCACATCTGTCCAGGCAGTTTGACCTCAAGCGGTATGTGCACCGCTCTGCCCCCTAGCGTCCATACTCCACATCTGTCCTGTGGTCACCGCTCCACACTTCAGCTTCTGCGGACGGAATTGGGAGGGAAATTAAGCAGCGGAAAACAGCCGCACACTCCAATGGCATGGGCGGTGGGCGGGGGGAACGCGGGGCCCTCGCGGGCGGGGGCGCCCACTGAACCCTCCGCGCGCCTGCAGGGGGCGCTCTGGCGCACGCCTTTCTGCTCTCGCCGAGGCGAAGCGCACTTCGACTCGGGACGAGCGCTGGTCTCCTGAGCTGCCGCTGCGGGCGCAACCTGTTCGTGGTGCTGGCGCACGAGATCGGCCACACGCTCGGCCTGACCCACTCGCCCGCGCCGCGCGCGCTCATGGCGCCCTACTACAAGCGGCTGGGCCGCGACGCGCTGCTCAGCTGGGACGACGTGCTGGCCGTGCAGAGTCTGTATGGTGAGCCCCCGGCCCCGGTCCCGGTCCCGCCCTTGCCTGCAGCGCGGCGGGCTCCTCAATGGGATCTCCCCTCCTAAGCGCAGGCATCTGGCCTCCCCCATCACGGGTCCTTCCAAATCCTCAGGCTCCTGAGATCTGAAAAACCTCTAACTATTACCCCCTGTCCCCCATGCTTGCCCTTGATCAACCCCAACGAACTCCTGGGCACAGTCCTGCCCCATCACCCTGACCCAATCCTCAGACTCACCTCTTCCCCACCCCATACGCCAGAGCCCTCATCCCTGCTCCCAGCTGCAATTTCCCTCTAGCCCAGTGGTTCCCCACCTTTTTTTGGCCATGCTTATTATTCAAAAAGTGAACTCCTATTCACGTGGAGGAAGCCTAAAAGGCCATTAACTTGGTCTAAACAAACTTCCAAAGAACATGGCATCCATGAAAGAGAAACATAAAAGAATGAAAGGACAGTTGAAGTACTGAGAATGAAATCACTAAGAAATGGTTAAAAAAATATGAAGTGATATGAAAAAATAGCAAATAAAGTTTCAAAACATATAATAGAGAACTGAAATGCATAAATATGTCACAATATATATTTATATACTGTATATAAGGCCCCTAGAACCATAAAATGCAAAAAGTTCATGGTTAATAACTCATTCTTGAATTGTCCCCCTTAAAATCAATCACCCCTCCCCCGGGGGGCATGTGCCCCACATTGGGAACCACTGCTCTATCCCCTAACCTTCCCCCCCCTTCGCCGCTTGGGCTGCCTCCCTCAGAGTGCGTGGTGCGGTGGGCAGGGCCAGGAGCCCTGGGTTCAAGTCTCTGTTCCATTCCTGACTAGCAGTTGCTCTTGAGCAAAGCATTTTCCCCGCTGAGAGCTTTCAGTTTTACCTTCTGAGAGAATGGATAATTGAGGTCCTGCTTACCTCACAGGGTTGCTGTACTAGTGAGTATGAGCATGCTTTGTAGCCTAAGAAACCTACACAAATGTAATCATAACAGCTGCTATTTCATGGGGGTCTACTGTGGACCAGGCACTTAACACACAAAACACACATGAGGTAAGTATCTTTTTGTCCACAGATGAGGAGAACCGGGTAAGAGAGGTTAGGTAACTTGCCCTAGGTCACACAGCTAGGAAGTTGCAGACCAGGATTCAGGAGCTGGTGCCAAATTCTAAGCTGATTGGACTCTGCCTCCCTCTCGTAAGTGAAGTGTCGTGGTGTAATTATCTTCAGAGCTGTAATTAACACAGCTTGGGCCCCTGGACTCTGCCTGCAGGCCATCTGCTTTGTCCAGGACTCAGAGGAGAGTACACGCTGCACTCCTTAGTTCCGAACCCTGGTTTAGTCCCCGCTTCAATTTTGACTGTGATAGGAGCGAGGGCTTCTGAGTTTAGTGCTATGGTTAACACCCACAACCAAAGACAATTCTTTACCCTACCCCTGCTCTCCTTCCCGGCCCCTCACATCAGACAATGATGAAAGGAACCAACGGGGAGGTCTTGGGCCCACAACACCCTCCTAACCACTGTGTGCTCTTCCCCTCTCCCCTCCCCCATGCAGGGAAGCCGCAGGGGGGCTCTGTGACTACCCAGCTCCCAGGAAAACTGTTCACTGACTTTGAGGCCTGGGACCCCCACAGATCCCAGGGAAGGCGCCCCGAAACCCAGGGTCCTAAATATTGCCACTCTTCCTTTGATGCCATCACTGTAGGTAAGATGGTTCCACCCATGCATTGTTTCCTCTTCCCTCCCCACATTTCAGGGGTCTCCAGAGCTGGAGTGCAAGGGGGAGTATAAATGATAAAATCCAGAAGTTCCAGCCACAGGGATTCTGCAAGGTAGCAAGCCCACGCCAAGCAAAACACTACTTTCTCCTTCGGCCCCAACTGTGCCCGCTGCATCCTCTCTGGTCAGCTTGGGAGGCTGGGTTCTAGGAATGCACCTTCCCTGGAAGGAAGGCAGGAGACGGGTGGTCACTGCTCAACTCTCTCTCGTCTCTCTGGGCAGACAGGCAGCAGCGACTGTACATTTTTCAAGGGAGCCACTTCTGGGAGGTGGGAGCTGATGGCAATGTCTCAGAGCCCCACCTGCTGCAGGAAAGGTGGGCCGGGCTGCCCCCCAACATTGAGGCTGCCGCAGTGTCACTGGAGAATGGAGACTTCTACTTCTTCAAAGGTACCAACCCTGGGGCAGATGAGAACAGTGAGACCTACAGAGGAAAGATGTCCTGCCCAAGGTCAATAGAGGGGAGGCACCTCCATTCCAATCCCAACCTGTGGCCTGGGAAACTCTACCAGGAGATTCCTTTGGTGGTGGATTGGGGAGGGCGGTGTCCAGGTTGTTCTAGACCAGTGATGGCGAACCTTTTGAGCTCGGCGTGTCAGCATTTTGAAAAACCCTAACTTAACTCTGGTGCCGTGTCACACATAGAAATTTTTTGATATTTGCAACCATAGTAAAACAAAGACTTATATTTTTGATATTTATTTTATATATTTAAGTGCCATTTAACAAAAAAAAATCAACCAAAAAAATGAGTTCACGTGTCACCTCTGACACGTGTGTCATAGGTTCGCCATCACTGCTCTAGAGGGAGAGGGTGGGAGAATCCCAGAGAAGACTCTAGAGCAAGCATGTCAAACTCCGCAGCTGGCAAGTTTGACATGCTTGCTCTAGGGAAGAGAGGACCACTCCTGAGCTCTGTGATTCTGCAAAGTCCTGCCTTCCTTGGAATCCTGGCTGCAGGAGGTTGGGCATGTCACTTAATTCTTGGAGCTTGAATTTTTTGAATGGGGAACACAATCCCTCAGGTTTGTTGGGGAAGAAGGATGAAAAGAACATACTGTCTGAGCAGTGTGCAGTATGTTACTTCAGTAAACAGTGTTCATTCATTCATTCATTCATTCAACAAGTATTGAGTGCCTTCTATGGCCTGGACTCGGTTGAAGGTGTTGGGATACAGTCGTGAACAACACTCCCTGCCCTCCTAGAACTGTTGGGAGTCATGGCAGTGAAGGAAGCCCCTGGCCTTCCCTGGAGCCCAGTCCTCACCCAGGGAGAGCGCCCCCTGCTACCCAGGGAGGGGCTAGACATGGTCCTTTAGCACTATCTGCCCTCTGCTGACACCTGCTGGAAGCCCAGGCCACAACAGTCCCTCCCCTACGGTTCATAACCAAATATGAGTATGATCCATTTTATCACAAGTACTAGCCACCTTGGGCTCCAACGCAAGAAGGAACAGAGGTACAGGGGGACAGAGTTGGGGTGGAGGCCCAAAGGGTGAGAGCTGCCAGCTCACCCTGGCTCTCCCAATGCCCCGCAGGGAGCCGATGCTGGAGGTTTCGGGGCCCCAAGCCGGTGTGGGGTTCTCTGCAGCTGTGCCGGGCAGGAGGCCTGCCTCGCCACCCAGACGCAGCCCTCTTCTTTCCTCCTCTGAGCCGCCTCGTCCTCTTCAAGGGTGCCCGCTACTATGTGCTGGCCCCAGGGGGGCTGCAGGTGGAACCCTACTACCCCCGAGGCCTGCAGGACTGGGGTGGTGTCCCTGAAGAGGTCAGCGGTGCCCTGCCCCAGCCAGACGGCTCCGTCATATTCTTCAGGGATGACCGCTACTGGCACCTGGACCAGACCAAACTGCGGGTGACGGCCTCGGGCCGCTGGGCCGCAGAGCTGCCCTGGATGGGCTGCTGGCATGTGAACTCGGGGGGCGCCCTGTTCTGAAGGCACCCCCACCTCATAGTGAACTTTGGGTGCTCTCATGGCCAACGTGTGTCCCCTGCCCCAGGGGCAGAGCCTGTCTTGGAAGCCTCTGAGCCCCCCTGCAGAAGACCCAGCAGAGAAGCTGGTCTGCGTTCGTTCCCTGGAGAATGTGCATTCATTGTCTTGGCGCTGTTCCCAGGACATGGAAGTGGGGCCGGGATCAACCCAAGGAGAAGCCAAAAAGGATCCCAGACTCCACAGCCCTTTCCCCAAGGACTCTTTCTTCCCTCAGGCTTGGGGGTTTTGTTTTTTCTGCTAAAGGTGCAGGTCCTGTCTATGAGGCAGCAGCATTGGGCGACCAGGGAGGATGCAGATCTCAGCAGAGCGGTTGGGACCACTTTGCAAGACTGTTGCCTTCCCCTGAGGACCTTCTGGCTCAGTTCTTGGAGAACTGTGTCATATTTAACAGAGGCCTCGCCCCCAGAAAGCCTGGATGGGGTGGGTACGAGGGTCTCCCACCTCGAGTTCCTGAGTGGGGTCAGGACCCAGAGCAGGAGGGAGACAGAGGCAGTGCAGCTCTTTGTGGGAGGCTGGAATAGAGGGGTCCCCGGCTGGTGGGCCTGGAGGCACAAACCAGCCTTCTCTGGAATAGCTTCCAGGGAGAGCAGGTGGGCATGGATGCTGGTGAGGTGGAGGCTGGTCTTTCTTCTGACCAAGCCAGGACCGGCAGGCTGTGTGGGTGAGAGTGTGTGAGTGTGTGTGTGTGTGTGTGTGAGAGAGAGAGAGAGAGAGAGAGAGAGAGAGAGAGAGAGAGAGATGTGAAAAGGGAGCCTACCTCTCCTCTAAAAGCTAAATGTCCTTGCACCCTCCCCTCCCCATTCAGGCCAGATGGAGAACCCCCTGTGGCAGGGGGAGGGCAGGGGCCTCTCTGGGGGACCTCACTGCTGCCCGCAGGCGCTGGGGGCTCTGCAGCCTGGGGGAGGCTTGTGTTCACAGTGGCTCCATCCTCCAGGCCACACACACAGCATTCCAGGAGCTCCTCCTGGCTGGTCGGGAATAGCTGGGATTCCTACAGAAGGAGCCAGCTCCCCCTGGCACTCTGCCTTCGGCTCAGCCAGCCTCAGGGCTTTAGCATCTGGCTCTCAGACCCTTCCCCTCACCCCTGCCGGGGCCGCATTTGCACCCACAGGGCCCTCCGCACATTGACCTCAGCCAGACCGGGGTTCCGGGGACGGGGAGGATGGTTTGGCAAAGTGCAGCCCTCAGCTTCCCACGGGCATTCCTGGCCCTGTGCCTTCATTTTTTCCTCCGCGCAGTGGGGAAAATGACCTTTGACTGCCCTTGGGTGCATGTGTTTTTGCTCCGCCCAGTCCTCAGGGAGGCGGAGGGAGGAGGCTCTCCGCCTGCCCTTTTCCCTCCGCTTGAACTTCTGCAGAAGGGAAGGCGGGTCAACTTCACCATCCTCACCAGGGCCTCCTCGCTCCCGCCTCAAGGCACTGACACTTAGCTTACGGCTTTATTGACCGATTTCAGGGAAAGAGCAGGTTTCTCAGAGGGGGCAGGGAACCCGGAGGTTAGGTTCTCTAGGGGGCGATGCCAGAAGGACCTGCAATACCCAAGAGATGAATGTGAGGCTCTGCCAGGGTGGCCAGCAGGCACTGGGTGATGCCGGGGGATGGGGGCCCCCAGGGGCACTATGGGAGGAAGGGAGCTCCAGGTGACCTGGGGCTCTGCACTGGGTGGGCGACAGGTGACTGGTGGCACCGTCACATGGACGGTGGGCCTGCTTGCCTGAGGGGGGCGCTCTGGGAGAGCGGCTCTGAGCAGGGGCAGCTCTGGGCTGTGCTGAGCGCGCTCAGCGTCAGGGACAGGAGAAAGCTGCGGGGAGTCGGGGGTCAGGAGAGAGTGGGGGGCACAGAGGCTTTAAGTGGGGGCGCTCCGGGGGCCCCCGGCGACCCCCGCCCCGCCCGCAGCCCGCGCCTCACCCAGATCCGGGTGCTCCAGAATGCAGTGCGCCACGTAGGCCGGGTTGCTGTGCAGGGTCCTGCATTTCTTGCAAAAGAGGATCTCGCAGAGCTCGCAACCCCCGCCGCTCGGTGGCTGCCCCTGGGTCTGCAGCACGCACGGCTCCTCCGGGAGGTTCCGCCTCCTGCGGGCGGGCACCCGGACGCTCAGGGCGCCGCGCCGGCCCCGCCCGCCCGGTCCCGGGGCGCGCCCGCCCTCACCTGTCCGCCGGGGCCGCGGGGCCGCGGAGCAAGGCCAAGGGCAGGAGCCAGCCCCAGAAGCCGCTGTCCGCGCGCCGCAGCAGCGCCACCTGCTGGGCGCTGGGCTCCTGGCGCAGCGGGCTGTAGGCCACGCTGCCCCCGCGGCCCTCGGCGTCCTCCGCCTCCCGGCGCTCCGCCTCGCCCGCGGCCGCGCTCTCCGGCGGCTGCCTCCCCTCGTCTTCCTCCTCCGACCCCTCCTCCTCCGCCTCCTCCTCCCGGACCCCCGGCTCCTCCGGCTCCTTCTTCCACAAGGGGGTCTTCACGCCTGCGGGCGGGCGGAGAGAAGGTCGTACCCTGACTCTTCTGTGCCCACAACCCCACTCTTCCCCACCCCCCACCCCCCAAAAAAGGCACCTCCAGGATGGTGCGTGCGCAGGAGCCGGCAGGACTCCGAGAGAAAGTTAGAGCGTCCAGGATTCCCTGGGCCAGGCCGGGGTCTGCCTGGCTGCACCCCGCACCCCACCTGATTGCCCAGGTGTCTGCGCTTCCTGGGACTGAGGATTGAGACAAGGCCGTCTGCTCGCCTGTGAAATGGGGGAGTAGTGCCTCTTTCAGGGGTTGATGTGAGGCAGGTGTGAGGTCGCTGAGTGCCAGGCGCCCACGCGGGCTTGGCCAGCGGGAAGCAATGAACAGGAGGCCGCAAGGAGAGTTTCGAACCTGGCACCAATGAGGGCTCATCACCTTATTTCTAACTCGCTCTAGGGTGGGTGCTGGTCCGTGGCGGTCAATAAACATGGTGTACTGGCTGGAATCCTAACGCGTGGTTGTTTACGTTTTGTTTTCTAGCTGGGACTTCCTTCTTCCAAGTGGGCCTGGCCTTAAGGGAGCCCAGCATCACCTGCGGAGGGTGGGTGGGCAGTGGGCACACAGCACCTCGTATGATTAGAAAAAGGGGCCGCCAATGGGCAGACCAGTTAGGGAAAAGTGTCTCTTCCTCCTTCCAGGCATGACCCCAATTGCCAGCCAGATTCAGCCGCCGCTGGCCCCACTAGCCCAGCACCCTGGTGTGCCCTGCGGTCAGCTGGACCTGGGGAGCCAGCCTTGTAATGAAAAGGGGGAGGGTGACAGAGGAGGCACAACTTCTGGGGTTTGCCCTGGAAAGGTGAAGAACACTTGCCTAACCTAAAGAGGTTGGAGACAGGGGAATCCTAATCGCATTAGCATTCTAGCTCACATTATTAAGCACCAATTACATGCAATCACCACCCTAGACTCTTTTCATACATCGTGTCCCTTCATCTTCACAACCCCCTCAGCTGGGTGAGGGATGAGGTAGGTCACGGAGGGGCCTGCGAATTTCATCTAAGGTTTTTGGAAACCTTCCAAGAAAAGTTGCTCCAGAGATTCTGCCGGTTCTTGGAGCTTTGTGGTTGTGAAAGGCCAGACCCACTGCACAGCCAGAGAGGGCTGCTGCTGACTTCGCAGGAGGAGGGGGCACTGGAAAGAAAGGTTGGGACTTTGGGTGCCGGGCCATGGAGTTTGGACGTTGGTCGCCTATGAAGTTCACGGAGGCATTTAGCAAAGGGTCCAGAGTTAAACTCATGTGTTTGGACTGTATCCCTGTGTCCCTTTCATCCCCATCCCACCGCGCTCACTAAACACCAAAGGCCACAGCCCTTCAGCAGCGGGAGCCACTGAATGTTCTGATGCAGGGACTTGCGCAGAACTGACAGAGGGAGACCCACTGTGGTCCAGGCCAGAGAAGACAAAAGTCCGAATCGCAGGAGGTAAAGAAGAGGAAGCAAGATATCAAGCATATTCAGGAAAGAGAAAAGAGAGGGTTTGTACCTGGATGGGTATCATCTTAAAAAGGCTGGACTTCTACTCTGGGGTTACCATGGTGATGAGCTGGTTGGTCCACCCTGTAGTCAAGAGACCCTGTCCTCTGGCCCCACCCTGCCTCCAGCCCCACTTACCGTCCTTATCCATCCTTCCCAAGGTGATGCTGCCTTCTTCGCCTATTCAGAGCCTAGGATGAGAGGAAGTAGCAGAACCCATAGAACTTGGTCTGGTCTCCAGGGCTTCAGTTGGATCACCTGGGCGGGGCTAGAACCTCACCTGCCCATATGGTTCCACTCAGGAATCTGCCTTTTCTAGGCCTCCACCCAGAAATCCCCTACCTACCTCGTGAAACGGCATTATTAAAAGACAGTAGAGGGTGGGTTCAAACCTAGCTCCAGCACATAAATATATTTATTTTATTTTTTGTTAATCCTCACCCGAGGATATTTTTCCATTGATTTTTAGGGAGAGTGGAGGAGAGAGGGAAAGACAGAGAGAAACATCGATGTGAGAGAAACACATCGATTGGTTGCCTCCAACCAGGGCCAGGGCCCAAGGAGCCTGCAACCAAGGTACGTGCCCTTGACCAGGATTGAACCTGGGACCCTTTGGTCCACAGGCCGATGCTCTATCCACTGAGCCAAACAGACTAGGGCTCTAGCACATAAATATAAAAGGTGTCTGGCTCCGTGGATAGGCCTGCAGACTGAAGGGTCCCAGTTTGATTCTGGTCAAGGGCAAATGCCGGGGTTGTGGGCTTGATCCCCAGTAGGGGGCGTGCAGGAGGCAGCCAATCAATGATTCTGTCTTATCATTGATGTTTCTATCTCTCTCCTCTCTGAAATCAATTATATATATATATACTTAAAGGTGTCTGGTCTTCAGCATGTTCTCTCTCTGACCCTCAGCCTCCTCATCTGTAAACCAGATGTGGTACAGAACCACTTTACCCGGCCCACAGCATCCACCTAGAGCACTGCTTATTGTATCATTATTTTCTCTCCTCCCCTTTCTGTTCTATCCCTATCTGTGCCACGACAGCACGACTAAGGGTGATCCCAAGTAGGGGGGGGGGGGTGAAAGGATTAAGGAAAGACAGACAAGAGAATAATAGCTGGGTCTCGGTGGGACGGGACGCTGCCTCCCTGATGAGGAGACAGCGCCAGCACCCACAAGCCGTGTCTTTATTTTATAGCAGATGCCATGAGGCAAAGTAGGGGCGTGATCACGTTGTTTACAGCATTCTCGTGAGTTTCAACCTCACTCAACTACATGCACCCGAACTCTATCACAAGGCACGTGGGGCCACGTGTTCGGACCATAGGTTCAAGCTTACAACCACAGCCGTTGGCTATAATTGTGCTGGGAGGGCCCTGCCCTCCAGCTGGGACTTGCACGTGGCAATGAGAGGACCCTGTCCTTTCATTAGTCCGAGGCTTGAACCTGGCCAAAACACTGTACCCGTGCCCCATACCTATCCTTCCTCAGCCCTGCACCCCACTTCACCCACGGCCAGCTCACTGCCTCAGCTCAGGGGAAACCCAGCTGCCTGGCATGAGGACATTCAACCCCGCTGAGAGGATCATATAAGCGAGGAACTAGGGCCTCCTGCTGCTCCGATTTTCTTGGGGACAAACATCAGGCCTTGATGCCTTTAGAATTGAAAGAAACTTCCCCTCTAAAAGGTCAAGAAAAGCCCTGCATGCTCTGCCCGTTCCCTCTCTGCCCCATATCCCACCTCTGTTATTCCTGGAACATGCCAAGCAGGCTCCTGCCAGAGCTTTTAAAATATTTTTTATTGATTTCAGAGAGGAAGAGGGAGGGAGAGAGAGAAAGAAACATCAATGATGAGAGAGAATCATTGATTGGCTGCCTATTGCACGCCCCCTACTGGGGATAGAGCCAGTAACCCAGGCATGTGCCCTGACTGGGAGTTGAACCGTGACCTTCTGGTTCATAGGTCGATGCTCAGCTACTGAGCCATGCAGGCCAGGCTGCCAGAGCTTTTACACTGGCTGTTCCCTCTGCCCCAGGACCCTGCCCCCAGATCCCTGCAGGTCCTGCTCCCTTACTTCTCTCAGGTCTCCGTTCAATATCATCACATCAGTGAGGCCTTGCCCGACCACCTTATATAAAATTCCACACACACACCCATCTCTTTAGTCCTTCAGTTTTCTCCCTGGTGTTTAGCACCGTCTGACTCACTATAGATTTATTTGTTTGCTATTTGTCAAGCAGCACCCTTAACATGCAAGCAGCCTCCATCGAGTCAGGGGCCTCATTGATTGCTCTAGATTTAGGCCTAATAGTGTCTGGCACACAGTAGGTACTCAAGACATACTTGTTGAATGAACGCATTGCTGTGGCCCTGGGGTGAGGTACTATGAGCGACAGCCCACTGTGGAGGAATCATGTGGGTAGAGTTAGGGATGTGCAGATTCTCAAAAGAAAGTGCGGGGGGTGGGGGGGGGTCACGGTGTGTAGACAGGATGCTGGGACAATCACTGAGAGCTGGGACCCACCCTGCCCCGAGCGTGTGTGTTCTTACAGTCTGACACTTTCCACATACATTATACCTTTATTCCTCACCCTCACAACACCCCAGGGAGGTAGACAGTAGCTTTCCCATGTTACACGTGGGAAAACTAAGGCACAGAGAGGCTAGGTAGCATAGGAAGGTCACAGAGGGACTTAGCGGAGGGTCCAGGGCTAAACTCATGTCTTTAGACTCTGTCACCGTGTGTGTTCATCCCCATCCTACAGTGCTCACTATCCACCGCGGCACCCCTGGCCCTCCTTCCCTGCCCCCCAGGCCCCAGAAGCCTCCACCGTGTTCAGCCCTACTTTTCCTCCCTGTTCCAGCTCCAGGGCGGGCTCTGCAGGGCAGTCCTTGCCTGCCAGGAAGAGTTAACAAGGAGTGTTTGTAGCAGCCGCTGTCTCCAAGGAGAGGAGAGAAGAAAGGAGGGTGGAGAGGCCAGGCCAGGCTCCATTGAGGTCCGGCTGGCGGTGGGGGGTGGGAGGCAGCCAGCGGGACCTGTCCAGCCCTGGAGGGGAGACAGGAGTGTCCTCACTTCCATCTGTCCTGGCAGGGGGCCAACTCTGGGTCCACTGGGCAGCCAAAGAGTGAGGTTGCTGCAGGGCCACCAAGTAGGGAAAGTCCTGGCAGGGACTGAGGGATGCGGGGAGGGGGCGGGACCTGGCCAGCCTGGGGGAGGCGGCTGAAGCCGGTGGCAAGTGGCAGAACCTGAAATCCGAGGCTCTCCCGGGGTAGAAGGGGAACCGGGAGTCAGGGAGAACCAGCCAAGACACAGCAGGTGGCAGGAGTGAAGACAAAGAGCAGGAGAGAAGAGGTGCCCACCTCCTCCTCCTCCTCCGCTGAGGGTCAAGCCATGTCCCAGCGCGGGGGACGAGGGAGGAGGTCTGGGACCCCAGGGCCTCCAGTGCGCAGCGTCCGGCCCTTTAAGTCCAGCGAGCAGTACCTGGAAGCCATGAAGGAGGATCTGGCCGAGTGGCTCCGGGATCTCTATGGACTGGACATCAGTGCTGCCAACTTCCTGCAGGTGCTGGAGACGGGCCTGGTGCTGTGCCGGCACGCCAACGCCATCACCGAGGCCGCCCTGGCCTTCCTGGCTGCGGCGCCTGCCCGAGCCCGCAGGATTCCCGTGCCGCGGGCCGGGGTGTCCTGCAATGGGGCCGCCCAGCCAGGCACGTTCCAGGCCCGGGACAACGTCTCCAACTTCATCGAGTGGTGTCGCAAGGAGATGGGCATCCAAGGTACCCCCCCCCGGCCCCCCCTCCCCAGACCCTTACCTTGCTGGGCGCCCCCCTCCTCTCCGAGGCCCAGGCTGCACTGAGGGCCAACAGCCAGGGTCCTCCTTCCAGATTTGCCTTGGGCCAGCTCATCCCTTTCCATCCTTCCGTTTCCCCACCTCATAGTAAATCCTCGGTAAAGAAAGGTGTTCGTTGAATGATTCATTCGTTCAACAAACACATGTTGCGTCCCTAGGACGGGGAGCTCTGATCCCCAGTTCCAAGGAGTTCAGGGTCTAGGAATGGAGACGGATGAGTGAGCAGACACATACATGACAGCCCATTGTGATAAAAGCTCAGGAGAGGGGTGTGAGCGCCGGGGAGGGAACAGCTACCTGATGAGGTGGAAGGTGGGGGCAGAGAGAGGCCGCATCGAAGAAGGAAGTGTGAGCTGAGTCTCGAGGCATGAAGTTTGGGGGAAAGCAGGGGACCAGCAGGGGCAGCCCTGTTTGGTGACAGAGAAGCTGCTGTGGGTGAGGGCACAGGCTGGGGCGAGGTGCTGAGAGAACAGTGGAGGAAGCGTCGGACATTAGGGAGGGGCCCGTCGTGCTGGGGCTTGTGAGACTCAGGGGAGAGAGTGTCAGGGTCCCTCATCTCCTGGGCCTGGGACCAGCAGTGGGAGGGAGCTGGATGTCGTGCCATCCTCCAGGCCAAAGGCCGCGGGTGTGAGGCAGAGGGGAGGGATAGGCCGGGCTACTGGCTGGTGGCAAGGCAGTGAGGGGCAGGGTTGGAGGGGTGAGCAAGGCTAGTGTTTTATTGAGCACTTACTATGTGCTGGGCTGTGTCTGCAAACACAACAATCCCATGAAATAGACTATATCCCCATTTTACAGAAGAGAAGACTGAGGGCTCAGGGACTAGCCCAAGGCAACACAGCTGGCGGGTGGGAGTGTCAAGGATCCCCGGAGGTCAGGCTCCCAGCCCCGTACTCAGCCCTGCCTCCTGACACCTGGGCTGGAGGTAGAGGATGAGATGCCTGGAGGCTACTGGAGGTCAGAGGAGGAAGCAGAACAAACGGCTTCTTGCTTCTGGCCTCACCCCGTCTCACAGCCAGGCCCCAGGGTCCTTTGCTTGGCTGGGTCACTTCTTCCCATCCCCAACCTGCCCTCTCCTGTGACGGGAGCCACCCTGTCTGCACTCAGTGCTGGACCAATCCTGCCCAGACCCTTCGCGGGGGCTGGTGTCAACTGGGATCCTCGGACCCAGACTTCCCACCGCCTGGCTCCGCAAAGGCCAGCGGGGCTCGGACGGCCTACCCACCCCCTCCCCCTCCCCTTGCCAGAGGTGCTGATGTTCGAGACGGAGGACTTGGTGCTGCGCAAGAACGTGAAGAACGTGGTGCTGTGTTTGCTGGAGCTGGGCCGCCGGGCCTGGCGCTTCGGGGTGGCGGCGCCCACCCTGGTGCAGCTGGAGGAGGAGATCGACGAGGAGCTGCGGCAGGAGCTGGCCCTGCCCCCGCCCGACCCCCCGCCGCCCGCTCCGCCCCGGCGCCGGTCCTGCCACTTCCGCAACCTGGACCGGATGGTGAGGGCTCCGGACTCGCCCTCAAGGCCCCGCCTTCCTTTTCCCCGCCCTCCCCTTCCCTCCCCTCCCCTCCCCTCCCCTCCCCTCCCCCTCCTGTCCCCTCTGGGCCACCCCTTTTTGAACTCCTGTTCCCACCCCACACTAATCCACAGAGCGGGTTTACATCTCAATCCTAATCACAGATAGTAGTAGCTAGGCCTCAATTACGTTTTTATTAGAAATCCAGTATTCTACACCTCGCTCATGTAATCCCTGTGAGACGGTTTTTAAGAACACAGTCCCTGGCACCATCTCTGACACCTGGGATCAAGTCCGAGTTCCGCTGCTTTGCAGCTGCGTGACGTTGGGCAAAGTATTTAACCTCTCTGTGCCCGCACTGCCTTCCTGTCGCGAGGGGCAGTAACAGTACCTGGCTTCTACCACTGACATGAGCATTAGATCCGAAAGTGCATATGAAGGGTTCAGTCTGCAGAGGGCGCCTGCCATCGGAGTCAGCTCTTACTGTGTTAGCCCGGTTCTACCGCTGAGGAATTGGGGTCGGGGAGGTTCCTTAACTGGCCAGAGCCTCTGACACAGTGGAGGCAGGACCCCGACACTGCCAGCACCTGTCAGATTCCAAGGCCCACCTTCTTCATCATTCCACTCCACCACCCTCATCAGCTGACCACGTGGGCGCTGGGTCATAGGTGACCACTCCAGGTCTTGTTCTCGCTGGTTCAGGGAAAGTCTTCCCTATTCACTTCTCAGCCCCCAGCCCTGACCTCAGCAGAAGCCTTGGGCTGGCTCTGGGGAGAGGAAGGCCCCCCATTGGGCTGGGCTTGGCATGGGTGGGGAGCTTGGGCACAAGTGCAGAAGGAGGGCTGAGCCCATGCCCACTGCCCACAGGTTCAGAACCTCGTGAGCCACTGCACATGCCCAGTTCAGTTCTCCATGGTCAAGGTGTCCGAGGGGAAGTACCGTGTGGGGGACTCCAACACCCTCATCTTCATCCGGGTAAGTGTCGGGGTGAAGGGCCCCAGGGTCAGCAGACTAGGATTTCCCTCCATGGGACCCTGCCCAGGCCTGAGGGCTAGAATAGGAAGTCATCGTTCATCCCAGCGTATCAGGTCTTGAGGCTTGCTTCCTCTCCCTGGAAAAATTCCAGAAGATTCCTCACAAAGTTGGCAAGCCTATCCCCTGCTTCCATTGGGGCAGCCAGAACCACCCCCACCATCTGCCTCCAACTTAGCCTGATTCTGAGGGGTCCCCAGGCAGAAGTGAGGTATGAAGGGTCCTCCCAACTTCTATCACCGCCACTCCACCCACAGGCGTGGTCAGAGCAAGGGGCCTGAGAATCCCAAGTTAGTGTCCAGTGCATGGCCCAGCCACAGAGACCTCATAGGTCACCCCTCAGATGCCTGGCTTGGTACCTTCTGCACCGTGAGCAGTAGGACAAGCTGAAATGTGCCCCCCCCCCCTCCATACCTGGCTGATCCTCTGCAGAAAGTCTGTACCCAGGGGAGTGGCCTGCAGCTCAGGGACATGGCCAAGCCCTTTAGGGCACAGGCCACAGCTGGGGACAGAGCCAGCTCCCTAAGCCCTCACCCAGGCCCTGAGCCAACAGCCCTGTGAAGTAGGTTGGGGCAAGGAATTGTGGCCCCACTTTTCAACGGAGGAAATGGAGGCCTAGAGAGACTGGGTGACCGAGTGGAGTGGGGCAGAGCCCCCCGATTCTTTGACACACACTGCAGAGCCAGGGCCCCGTTTCTAGTACAAGCATGCACAGGGGGGACCCTTTACCGTGAAGGAAGAGGGAGGGCTCTGTGCCAGACGGCACAGTGCTTGTGCGATGCCTGGTTTCATTGTGGGACAACTTTCTGTTTGACCTGCCTCCACCCTTGACAACATGTGCCATCTGATGCCCATCACAGTGGAGACTCAGGTGGCAAAATATGCACACGCCCAACTACCAGGGGATATTTGCATGTGTACATGGGTGGGGTGTGTGCTGGGAGCCGGCAGGCTGGTCCAGAAAGAGGGCGCACTCTCCATTTTGCCCTCTATCTTATACTTGCCCCCCTGCAGGTCCTCCGGAACCACGTGATGGTGCGTGTCGGGGGCGGCTGGGACACCCTGGGCCATTATCTGGACAAACACGACCCCTGCAGGTGTACCTCCCTCTGTGAGTCCCTTGCGAGTCCCCTCCCTGCGCTCTGGGTTGGGAGGCTGGAAGTGGGAGGTAGGTATGAACTCCAGGGGCAAGAGGTGTGTGGGATGGAGGAGGGGGATCTGGAGAAAAGAAGATGCTATAGAAGGTACAGGTGTGGTGCCCCCTCAGCTCTAGAAAGCCAGTTGAGCAGGCATGGTGCAATACCAGTTCTAGCCACAGGATGGCGCCAAACACAGAGAATCAGCATTTGGTCAGGGTGCATCTTGGCAGGGCTTAGGCCTGGCTGTGATGTCCACAGCGGTGGCACCAAGCATGACCTGGAGGGGTCCTTAGTCCTCCAGTAATCCCCACCAGCCCCCTAATAAGCATTCATTCTACGTAAAATATGTGAATATGTGAACTTGCAATACAAATGCAGCTTTAAATAAGTCCCCTGCTGAGCCCTCGCACCGGATTTCATCCCTGGAACCCCTATCTGGCACTGGTGCTGTCCCTGCCCCTGTAGGTCCCACTGTCTCTAATATGGGGCGTGGAGTGTGGAACAGCTGTGGCGAGAGCCAGCAGCAGGAATGTCATCTTTTCCTCCTCTCCTCTCTGGGGGGCTGTTTTGGTAGCACACAAGCCAGGCAGCTTCCTGAAGCCCCCGGTCCCACCGGTGCAGCACGAAGTGAGGGTGCTGGATGAGCCCTGGCAGCCACAGCCTACGATGACCATCAGCCGCTCTCAGAGCCCACTGCCCCCTGTGGACTGGAAGACATACACCTCTTCAGGCCGGAAGCTGAGGCCCCCCGCCTCCTCCCCCACACCTCGCAGTGAATGGTGAGCAGGGGCAGGGGTCCTCAGAGAGACACCACCATTCCTGAGGTACAGGGGAGGGACGGCAGGGCCTCTTTCTCCTTTGGAGCCCACATTCTCAGAGGCCACCCCACCCCAAGATGAAGGGAATGAGTCTCTTGGCAGTACCCTCACCCCAACAAGACCTCAGGTGTTCAGAACCAAAAAAGCACCCAATGCCTTTGGGATTATCTAGTTACTTCATGTGCTCCCATTTCACAGATGAGGAAGCTGAGGCCCATAAAAGGAATAGGCTTATGCAAGGCCTTTCTGCCATTTCATGGTAGAGCAGACACTAAGACTCCCCTGCCACCTAAGACTGGTGACCTGAAGTTGCTGGGTTTGAAGTAACCCAGGGTGCAGACCAGGCTGCTTTCTACCTGCTACAGGGAAATGATGGAGAATAAAGTTAAACGGTATCTGCCATAAGGAATACCCTTGGACAGACACAGAGGGAGAGGGAACATCTGTTTCCTTCCACATGAAGTCTGGCCCCCTTGGAGTTCTGGTTGGGGAAAGGCCAGCCCTTCCCAGAGCCAGGGGGCTGGATTAGGCGACCCTGACAGCCTTATGATTCTCCCTTTCAGGCGCCAGGAGAAGACACCTGCCCCACCTGAGAGGCAGCTGCCAGCTGGGCACAGCTCACCCAGCCCCCAATCCTCACCCACCCCCAGGGGCCGAGACCCACAGTGCACCTCCTCAGGGAAGAGGGAGGACAGACACCCCCCTGAGCTCCCCAGGGGAAGGACTCCTACATCTTGGGTTCATGAGGAGACAGACAGCTGGAGAACCCATCCCAGGACCCCCACCCCCCAGAGACTCCGAGCCCCTGAGGCTACTGCCAAAGGGACCCCAGCAAGAGGACCATCTCCCCTGCCTCGTTACTCCAGTTCGTCAGCCAGGCCCATGGACCCCAGGAAGCCGCCTCGGGGTGATGCTCCCTCCCAGCTCAGGGAGCCAGTGTCCGTCCGTTCTCCATCCCCTGTTAAAGGGCCCACCAAGATCCCTGTCCAGCTGGCCCCTGCCCGACCTCCCACTCCAGGAGGAAGCTTTCCAGGTACTGCAAGTGGAGGTCTTACAACAGAACTGGAGAGAAGCTCCGTACCACCAGGGGCTGCCACTGGAGGCCTGGCTGGGTCCAGTCGTGGGGACTGCTCTGTGGAAGGAAGGCAAGGGGTCCAGAAGGTGGACGTCTGGGTGACAGCAGAAGCCGGAGAGTCCCGGGGCCTGGACACGCCCCTGACCCTGGGTGGGATCAAGAAGCCAGGCATCTGCCATAGCCTTGAGGAGGAGCTTTTGGCCAACATGAAGCTGCTAGAGGTGGGGACTGCCGACCCCCGGGGCCCAGGTTCTGGGCTCATCCCTCGCAGTGGAGTCTACGTCCCCAGCCTGGGTGGGCGGTGGCCTGAGCCTGGGGGTCCTTATGACAAAGTCATCCAAGAACTGGCTCAGGGCCCTCCACCCCTCATTAAAGTGGACCTGGGTGCCTGGAAGGCTGCCCCTCCAGGCTCCCCTAAGCTGGCAGTAACCACAGGCCCAGGAAGCCCAAAGGGGAAACTGGGAGCCAGAGAGAGTGGGCCAAGGACAAAGGCAACCCTGGGTGCCCAGGACACCAGGATGAGGAAGGTCCCAGCTCCAGGAGGGCAGGACTGCTCAGCCCCTCCTGTGTCTGCCAGCCTGGAAGCCCCCACACCTTCGCCCTTGGACCCAAATTCTGACAAAGCCAAGGCACGTCCAGGCAAGGGCAAGAGAACACTGCGGACACCCCGAAGAGTACCATCTATCTACAAGCTGAAGCTGAGGCTCAGACTCCGGCCCCGGAGAGACCACAGGCCTGAGGAGCGGCCTTCACGAATCCCCAAACCCCTGGCCTACCTCCGCTTGGGTCCAGCCAGGGCGCCCCCAAGCGGCAGGCTGGAAAGGGTGTCAGCGCTGGGTGGGAAGGGAGGGGAGGCAGGCCTGGTGGATGGAGCCTGGGCAGGGGAGAAAGAGGAAGGAAAGGAGGAGAAAGAGGCAGCCGTTCCACTGGAGAGCAGACCCCCACGTTCGGAGAGCCTGGGGCCTCAGCAGCTGGATCCGCTCCCACCCGAGGAGGAGTCCTGGGTCTAAGGAGGGGCTTCTCATCCCAGAGCCGGTGAAAAGAATGCCCAGGTGGCCATTGGAATCCCAGCCGCAGGAACAGAAGGAAGGGCCCCTCACCTGGATACAGGGCCTTGGCCAGGAGACAAATAGAGCATCCATCAGCTCAGACTAGCAAATGGGACAACCCATCATCTCCACTCCAACTCCAGAATTGGGATAGGGGCAGTGGGGCCACCCTATACCTTATCACCCGCCCCCAGAACAGCTCCCCAAACCCCTGTCCTTAGGCCATGCCCACTGTTTCCACAATTCTTATGTCATTAAACACGGGTGGGTCTGTCCTGGAGTCTCCAGCTTGAGTCGCTCTCTCTAGGGCTGTCGTGATGCAGGAAAGTGTAGCTCCAAACATTCTCCCACTGGAGGGAAGAGGATCAGGGAGGGAGCTGGGGTGAGAGAGTTGGTCTTTCTCTCCTGAGGTTCAGCCAACCTCGCCCCCAGACAGCCCATCTCCTGGAGGTGGCTGGTGCGTCAGCACCATGGACAGGGACAACGGCCACCAACACAGGCTCCTGTGAGACTTCAAAGCTGGGCTCTGGGGCTTGGGGACTGAGATCCCTAGAGTCAGGAGGGCTGGTTAACATATCTACACCCGTGAAGTTATGACAGAGGGATCACAGAGGCTCAGCGGTGAGCGAGGCAGACACAGAGGCAGAAACTGGGACTGAGTCCAGTTATGCAAGTTGTCCTGAGTGGCAGAGGGTTTTGATCAGTGGGAAGGCTCAGGGGTAGGTGGAGAGGAGATGAGTCCCAAACTCCTCCCCTTGGTTCTTCTGGTTGTCCTGAGTCCCAAAACTCGGGCCACCCCATCACCCTTCCCCTCCTTGCCCAGCAGAGCTCTGTAGGGAGCCCCTTCCTTTCCACCCTCAGAAACTGAGCCAACACCTTGGTACAGAAACGAGGGAAAACACTCCCTGATTTTTAATCTGACTTCCGATCACAGCGCATTGGGCGTCACACACACTTCCAGACCCTGTGGTGGGAAACCCTGGGTGGGTGGGGGGAGGCAGGGAGAAGGACAGAGACTCAGAATGGGGGTGGAGGAAATCGAAATCAAAGACCTGGGTGAGCGGAGGGGGTGAGGTGGGACGGGCAGGCAATACATTCCAATGGCTCCCACAGGGGCAGCCAGAGGCCTGGGTCCCCCACCCCCACTTCAGGTGCCTCAGAGCTGGGGGCGACAGTGGTGATGAGATGCTGCTATCCCTTACCCTGTCCCCCTGGTGAACCAGGGAGCAGGATGCAGGGGAGGAAGGGGGCAGGCCCTCTTCCGTACCCTCCCAGCCACTCAGGGGGTGGGGAAGGGGAGCCACCTCCTCTGCTTCAGAGGGAGGCTCAGAGGGCAGGTCACTTGCCCCAAGTCACGTAGCACAACAGGGACTAGAACCGGGGCACTGGACTGCCCAGGTCAGGGCGGTCCTTGTAGGGCTGTGCTACCCAGGTGGGTGGAGGGGGAATCAGCTGGGAAATTCATAGATTCCCTCTCACACTAGATCTGGATGATAAGCTCCCCATCCACAACCCCTCCCCCAGACTCCTCTCCATCACCGCTCTGGGCTACCTGATTTCCTGGTCTATACAACAAAGCTGGGCCAGGTCAAGGCCGAGATGTTCTATCTGCCCCTCTTCTAACCTTGCTGTCCTCCCATCAGCCCAGGGCTGAGGGCTCAGCCTCAAGGAGAACTTGGCCTGGGGGCAGGGAACACGCACCATTGTGTGGCCTCCAAGTCCCCCAGGAATCCCTCAGGCCGCTCCTGGTATCTTCATTATTTTTGTTATTTCTAAGTCGATACAAAACTGACAGTGATCAGCTCTGGTGAGGAGAGGTAGAAACCCGGCCAGGCAGCCGGAGAAAACGGGGTGGAGTGAGTCAGGGCATAGGGCCAACTGGTGTTGGCACAAGGAAGTGTAGATCCTGAGGGCCTCCAACCAGGAAGTGGGGGGGGGGGGCAGAAAGCGGGCATATCTCCCTCAAGCAAGGGGTCCCCATAATTCTTTTTCTGGCTCTACCCCTCCCTAGATTAATCAGGGTAACCTGAGATTCAAGCAGGGGCATCTGGTTGGGGTGGATGGAAAAGCAGAGCCTTTGCTGGCACAACCTGGGCCCCAACCTCCACTCCGGGACCCAGCCTGCCCCCCACAGCTCCCCAAACCCAGCACCCCCCAATCTAACACCACCCAATGCAGGAAGGAACAGGGGGCTGGAGCCTGGCGTCATGGAAGTAAATCTCTCCTTTGGGGGATTCCCTCTCCACTCTCTGTCAGGGGAAAAAGTTCTAACCCAGGGGGTGATCTGGCTTTGGGGTCAGTAAGGGGGTGAGGGGCACCCGGCAGGAACGGACCATCGAGTTAAGGCTGGAAGGTAGGTTGTTGTGTCTCGGGGCTGCTGGGTGGGGAGGTCTCCCTGGAGAGGGCAGAGCTCAGCTTTCTCCCCTTGACTAATCTGGGACCTCAACCCTCGGACCGAAGGTGGTCCTAGGACCACCGGCATCTCGCTGTCCTGCGCCGGTGGTGCTGCCGGCCAGAGGGGCACCAGGATCTGCAACAAGGAGGTGGAAGAAATGAGAGCCCTGTGAGCTGAGCTGGGGGCGGGGCGGGGACCAGAGAGCGGGTAAGACCAAGAGACACTTGGGCAGACCGAAGGGCACGGGAGGAAGGCGCGGGGCAATGACAGACACACTCTCTGGAGAAGACTCGCGGGGGACCGGCTAAGGCAACACCTCCCCTTCCCCACCCTCCATTTCCTGCGCGCGCCCCAATCCCAAAAGGCTGTGGCGCCCCTTGGGGCCAGGCTGGGTACTGCGCCAACCTCAGCCCTAGAGGAGCCGTCCCAGGAAGACAGATTGGAGACAGGACTGGGCCATTTGGGGAGGCTCCCTCCCGCCCTCCGCCTCTCAGAGGGAGGTGCGTGGCTGCGGGGGCGTTTCCGGCTCGGGCCCCCCGAGTTCTTTTCCTGCCACTCGCTGCTCAGGCCGGGCAGTCCCGGGAGGAAGCCGCCCCGGCGGTCCCGGCGGCAGCCTCGGGCGCCCCAGGGGCTGGCGGGGCGGGCGCGGTCACATGATGGCGCAGCGGTTGCGGCGCAGCGCGCCCTGGAAGCGCAGGGCGGCGTGCACGTGCTTGCAGCGGGCGCAGCCGACGCTCTTGAGCAGCTCGCTGAAGAGCAGCAGGATGTGCCAGTTGTACTTGGCGGAGCACTCCACGTAGCCGCACTTCCAGGTCTTGCGCACCAGGTGAGACACGTTCCAGCGCGGGATCACGCGTCCGCGCTGCAGGTCCCGCTTGTTGCCCACGATGATGATGGGCGTCTCTGAGGTGCCAATCACCCTGGGGGGCGAGGTGGGACTCTCAGAACTCCACCAGGCTCGCAGCCACTGGACTTCAGTGAAGGCAGGCTGTGCCTGGTCAGTAACAGTGCTACCTTACGTCTGTTCCAGGCGCAGGGCTTAGCCCTGGAGTGACAGGACATTCGCTAATCTGCACAATTGATCCAAAGGGTGGGTACTAGTGTTAGCCCCGTTTTACAGATGAGGAAACTGAGGCTTACACATCCACTGTCCTGGTCATGCAGCCGAGGGGCCCTGGCAGCCTTGTTCCCGGAGCCCCTGATCTAACCACTGTGTTAGACTAGCCACCCCCCGCCCCCGTAAGGGTCCCAAAATGAGTTAATAGAAATGGGGAACAGCAAAATGTCATGAGTGTGTGTGCGTTTGACTGGATGTGTGGGAACTGGAGGGGACTTCATCTGCCTCCCTCCACTGCACCCTTTCCGTGGAAGCTGGCTAGCACTAGGCGCAGTGACGGCGAACCTATGACACGCGTGTCAGAGGTGACACTCGAACTCATTTTTTTGGTTGATTTTTCTTTGTTAAATGGCATTTAAATATATAAAATAAATATCAAAAATATAAGTCTTTGTTTTACTATGGTTGCAAATATCAAAACATTTCTATAGGTGACACGGCACCAGAGTTAAGTTAGGGTTTTTCAAAATGCTGACACGCGGAGCTCAAAAGGTTCGCCATCACTGTACTAGGGCATCCACTGGGGTGGCAATGGACTGTATCCTGGGCCCTCACCTTGTCTCTAGGATCTGCTGGCGGATGGTCTTGACGTACTCAAAACTGTCAAAGCAGCAGATGTCGTAGACCAGGATGTAGGCGTGGACACTCCGGAGTCCCCTGCAGCAGGCGTCTGCCCACTCCTGCAACACCCCCAGTTAAGGCCAAGGTTAGAGCAGCCACGAGGGTTCCCCTTGTCCCCAGCCACCTCCAGCCATAGATGGACAGCACTCTCACCTGCCACAGCACCCTAAGCCTTTCACACCCACCCATCTCCAGGAAGCCAGGGCCAGGGCAGAATGGAGCTCAGTGCTGGGATAGGGCAGGTCACACTGTCTGACCTCGAGGACCACTACACGGCCCTGTGCATATCAGGAGCTGTTGAAATGGTCTCTACCTTTTTAAAAAAAATTGATTTCAGAGAGAACGGGAGAGGGAGAGATAAAAACATCAATGATGAGAATCATTGATTGGTCGCCTCCTGCATGCCCCCCACTAAGAATCAAGCCCACAACCTGAGCATGTGCCCTGACTGGGGAATCGAACCATGGCTGAGTGGATGCTCAGCCACCGAAATAGTCTATCTTCCAAGGCTCAGCTCAAATGCCTCCTCCTCCGAGAAGCCTCCCTACAAGCAAGGGGCTACTCCCTTAATCTCCTGTGCATATACCTTGGTTACCACTGTTTCCATCTCCAGATCCCCACTTCTGCGAGCTCCTGAGAGAACCAGAACCAAGCCACCCTCATTTTTATGTAACTCCTCCTCCTCCCCACTCAGCACCTTGCACACTGTGTTGGCTCCTAGCAGGCCCCTTATGGGCGCACTGCCTAACCTGGTGAGCTCTCCATGGTCCTGAACCCCACTTGGTCCAGCTGGGATCAGTGCAACTCCTGTCTGTCACGCTGCCCTTAGATTGCTATCTGATGTTCCCTTCTGTAGGTTCCACTCTGCCCTTGGACTGAAGGAGAAGGTCTGAGAAGACTGAGACTGGATACATAGTCGGGGCTGATGGACAGCAAGGCCCCAGGGAGCCGGAACTTCCTGAATGTTTGTGGCAAATTCTCAGGGTGGGGTTGCAGCTCAAGATGAATAGACCCATGGAAAGTCTGAGTGCACTAAAGAGAAAGTTCCTTAAGAATTAATTAGCTAATTAACTTGCCAGCAGATGGCAATTGCAAGAGCAGTTGAAGGCAGCCAGTGTGTGGAAAGAGCATGGACTCTGAAGCAGAGGGGGAGGTAGAGGCCTCCGGGCCAAGGGGAACCAGGGTCTTCTCCTTTGAGGGGCCAGGCAAAAGATGAGAAGGAGGTGCAGCATATCTCCTGAGCCAGCTTGTGAGTTGCATTGGGGCAAAGACCAGCATCAAGGAGGACTACGGCAGGCTCTCCACCTCAGAGAAGGAACAGAAAGGAAAGACTTTGGTGGTGATGGTAGAGTGTGTCTGGCTCCTGAAAGGTACTTCCCAACTCAGAGGCATAGAGGCTGCTGCAGTGGATTTCCCCAGGGAGATGATGTGGCATCTTTTCTTTGTGCTGAGTTTTAACTTTGGTGCAGGGGGAAGACTCTGAGGACAAATCTAAAACTGTAGGAAACCATTAACTGGCTTCTGGGGCCAGGGAAAACGGCGTTCCGCCGGACACAGTGAGCTCCAGGAGCCCAGGACCCACATTTGTACATGGTTCCTCCCCCAACCCACATAGGAGTGATTAGTGGCAAGTGGGAGGAATGGGGAAACAGGCAGAGGTTCCCTCCCTCTTCCAGCTCGCTGCTGGGGAGAGGGAACAGCTGCCAGCCTGCCGGGGTGACAGCCCCACCTCTTCCACCTCTTTCCCAACATGCTGACTCCTCCAGGGGGCCGCCAGGCTGCCTCCCACCCACTTCTCTCTGGAGGCTCCTAAAAGGGGGAGGAGGAAGGCTCCTGATTGGCTGGCTTGTCCCTTCACCCCTGGTTGAAGGGAGGGAACAAGAAAGCTCAACTTTCCTTCCAGCTTGTTCTATGAAGGGTTCCAGGTGGTAAAAGACCACCTTGGGGTCCTGTCAAAACACAAGAAGGAGCGATGGAAACTGAGTCCAGTTCCAAGGACCCGGGAGATGAGGGAGGTTCAACACTGGGCCTCACCCGGGCATTCGCTGCTCATTCCTTCGGTGGCTGCTTGAGCCCTCTAACCTCAGCTTCCTTCTCTGATAGGAAGGAGGAGAGGGGGCTGCGGGAGGGACAACTGAGGCTCAGACCCAGGAAACACCACTCTCCTGGCCTGATTTCACCTGGAATTGGGAAAGAATGTGCTTTTATTCTACTGTCAGGTGGTGCCATCAGGATACTTGGGTTTTATATTTGTTACTTGTGCTCCAGGAGTGAAGTCTTGGACATCCTAAAAAGTCCAAAACTCAGGGTCAACCAGAAAGAAAAAGACCAACAATCCAATAGAAAGATGGGCAAAGGGCATGAATAGTTGTCAGAAAAAAGAAATATAAAGGCCCTTAAATGTATGAAAAGATGCTCAACTTCACTCATAATCAGAGATGCAAATAAAAACTACACAGAGACTATCAAATTTCATCTATCAGATTGTCAGACAATACACTCCGATGGGGAGCCCTGGCTGGGTAGCTCAGTCGGTTAGAGCATCGTCTTGATACTCCAAGGTTGCGGGTTCGATCCCTCATCAGGGCACATACAAGACGCAACAAATGAATGCATCAGTGAGTGGAACAATAAATTGATCTCTCTCAAATCAATAACAAAAAGGCTTTGGGGGAAGCAGCACTCATGTAAGTTTATAGATGGGGAGGGGAGTCTGACACCTTCCGAACTCCAGGTGCATTTACCCTTGATCCAAGCAATGCCTTTCCAGAAATGCATCCCACAGATATGTCTCCTATGTACCAAATGACTGTGTACAAGGCTGCTCATCGCAGCACTACCTGAAATAGCAAAAGATTGGAAACAACCCGCTTGTCCAACAAGTGGGGGACTGCCTAGTACACCTCTCCAATGGACCGCAGCGTAGTCATAAAAAAGAATGAGATGCCCTCTAGACACTGACTTGGAAAGATCTCCAGCTTATAACATTCAGTCCAAAACACAAGGTCCAGAACAGTGTTGTTTTTTAAATGTAAGAAAGGAAGTGGAATAAGAACACATTTTCTTATTTGTGTAAAGAAACACTGGAAGCCTGAATAAAAAAAACAAGGAGAGTGGCTTTAGAGAGCGGGGCAAGGATCAGGGTGACGCGGGCAGCGGTGGGACTGACATTTCTCTGGGTGAACCTTTCTACCAAGTTTGAACTTCTAAATTGCGTCTTACCTAGGCCAAACTCGAAATTAAATTAAAATGAAGTCCACAACAAAATGTGAAACATACACAAAGCTTGATGTGCCGGCCTGGAGTGAGATCTGAGACTCAGGCTACTGTTAAAGGCTCCTTTGGGGAACTAGACCCTGACCCACTGCCCTGACCTCGCTGCTCCCAAGGGGTGGCTGCCTGGATCAGGCTGTTGTCTTTGGTGCTGATCTCCCTACCCGGGATGGCAGAAACAAGTGTCCTTGAGGTTGGGCCAAGGCCCTCCTGCCCGGGTTGCTGAGACAGTGCTGAGCCTGAGTCCCTCCCCAGCTGTACTTGCACAATTACAATTGGCCAAGCCATGGCCCTGCCTTCCTGTCTCCACCACTGTGCCTATCCTCCTCTGGTGAGGGGCTGCCGTCAGTGAGCAAAGTGTCTTAGAGCTCCCCATGCACCCACCCGCTCTGAAGCCAGAAGCAGAGAGAAGGAAGGAGGGCTTGGTCCCTGCAAGCTTGGGGAAGGAGCACTGTCAGCCCTGGCACTGGGGGCACCTGAATCTAACCCCTGCAGGAAGGGTGCCCAGCAGGCCAGTCCTGAGAGCAGGGGCAGAGCATCACGTAAGAGAAAAGCCCCTTGGGCAAGAGACCTGTCTCTGAGAACACACCTTTGCCAGGTCTTGGCCTTTTCTTCTGCTGTCCCGTCTACTGACCTTTCTACCCCAGTGCCCACTACAGAGCCTGGCACACATAAGAAATAAAGCTAATAAAGCTCATCAAATATCTGTAGAATAAACCAGCACACTATGGATTCCTGGTACGGCTCTAAGCTTTCCTGGTGGCCCATGGTGCAGCGTGGAGCTGGAGAGGGCTGGAGTCCAGCCTGTCCCCTACCCTTCCCACTGCCCCCCTACGCCCGTGGGCCCTCCTACCTGCAGCGTGTTGACAGGGAAGGCGCTGATGGGCGGGAAGTCGAGGATCTGGAGGTCGTGCACGTGGCCGTTCATGACGACAGCAGGCAGGTAGAGGCGGCGGGTGGTGGTGGGCACGCAGACCTCGCTGAACTCGTTGTACAGGAACTGGCGCACGATGGCACTCTTGCCCACGCCTCGCGCCCCCAGCACGGCCACCCGGTAGGTGGAGACCATGCCTCTCGCCCCACGCCGCCACCGCGTCCTCGCCGCTGCCTGGGGCTCCCCCGGGCTGCATATTCCAGGGGCTGGGGGCTCAGCCACCGTCAGGACCAGTCATTGCTGCCCCTGCCCGCCCTGGGCCCTCTGCGGCCTCCGCCTGGACTGTGGGGACAAGAGGTGGCTGGCTTTAGGGTCTCTGCTGAAGCTGTTTCAGCCACTCAGAATGCCTTCGCTTGCCCAGAACCCCTATCGTATCTACTGAAATCCTCGCCATCCTCCCTTCATTTTTTCCTGTCCTCCCACCGCAGGGAATGACCCGACGTCTGGCCAGCGAGGCAGGCTGCGGAGCATCGAGCCCAGCTTCCCCAGAGTCTGAGCCGTGTCTGGGTCTCCCCCCTCAGGGGTGAGACGAGGCCAGTGTGTCTCAGTGGAGGCGCTCCTGGCATTTCTTAGAGGGAGAAATCTCCACTGGGCAGGAAGACTGGCACACTGCAGGACCTCTTACATCCCCAGGTGCCAGCTGCAGCAGCCTCCAGTCACCATGACAACCCCAAATGCCCCCCATTTCCAAATGCCGCCATTGAGACCCTGGACTAGATGACCTCTGGGCTCTGGAGGGCAACACTTGTCAAGCACTTGCTCTGTTAGTGTGCGTGCCCACAAGGATACCCTCAGTGAATACGATACCCCTAAGGCAGTGGTCAGCAAACTGCGGCTCGCGAGCCACATGCGGCTCTTTGGCCCCTTGAGTGTGGCTCTTCCACAAAATACCTCGTGCGGGCGCGCACGCACAGTGCGATTGAAACTTCGTGGC